GTAATAATATTAGTGTAGTAAAAGTGGTACAAGGAGTAGGAATAGGAGCAGGGTACGAGTATGGCGAGGAGTAGGAGAAGGAGTCGGAGCAGTAGCAGTAGCAGTAGCAGTAGCAGTAGCAGTAGCAGTAGCGGGAGCAGTATCAGCAGTAGTAGTAGTAGTAGTAGTAGTAGTAGCAGCGGAGCAGGAGTGGAAGTAGTAGTAGTAGTAGTAGTAGTAGTAGTAGTAGCAGCGGTACTAGTACTAGTAGTGGTAGTGGTAGTGGTCGTGGTCGTGGTAGTGGTAGTAGTAGTAGTAGTAGTAGTAGTAGTAGTAGTAGCATGGGTAGGTAGATAGGTAGGTAGGCAGGTAGGTAGGTAGGTAGGCAGGTAGGTAGGTAGGTCGGTAGGTAGGTGGGTCGGTAGGTAGTAGATAAGTATCTAGGTAGCTAGCTAGCTAGCTAGCTAGCTAGCTAGCTAGCTAGCTAGCTAGCTAGGTCGGTAGGTAGGTAGGTAGGTAGGTAGGTAGGTAGGTAGGTAGGTAGTACATAAGTATCTAGGTAGGTAGGTAGATCGGTAGGTACGTGTGTGTATATCTACTAGGCCCTTACTCTATGATCCATTATTGTAAAAAGCATGTTGGGTGTGTCGGGTGCTGCGCGGACGGAAGAACAACGATCCTGAACTCCTGCAGCCTCCTATCGCATATGACAAGCTTACACCAGCTCCTTTCTAGATGAACCGAATCTCATCTCAATGCTTCACAGTTTGCACAACCGTCCTCAGCAGTTCTGGAGGATGCAGTTCAGTTGATCGTTAGAAAATTGTAGGGGCCGCGAGCCGTGGAGGCCGAGAAGGACATTAACGACATCGGCAAGTATCCCTAAACCCCAGTTACCTACTATGTAGGGTACTAGAGCCCCTAGGGCCCTATATAGTAAGTACCTGGGGGGTTAGGGTATTACGAAAAGTAGGGAGGATGTCTCCCCGGAAGCTGCTTGCAGACTCAGGGCCTCTAGCTAAGGGAAACCTCAGACCGTCCCTGTCTAGTTCCCCTTCAAAGTAGCCATTATCGAGGAAGTTAGGAAGTTTTCAAGGAACCCTTTCTAGAGCCAAGGCAAACAGTCAGCTTCATGAAGCTCCAGGCTTTGCGAAAGAGGAGAGTGGCTTGGAGAGTTTGGACGCGTTCGCGTAGAATCGGCGTAGAAGGTGGTGGCATGGTGTGTTCGGGTTCAGCATTCAGGGTTGCGTGCCTGGGAGTGGGAGGACAGAGCCGTTTGCGATGTTTGGAACAAAAAAAGTGCCGCACTTTTTGTGCCGTGGCGCAAACAGTGCAGGACACAATCTGCAGAACGGATTTCGATTACATCATGCAGCACGCAGCAGAAACTCACGCAGCACACGCATCGCATCAACGGCTGCAGTCACAGTTGTTGACAGTAGCCAAGCATCAGCAGCAGCAGGAGTAGCGGCAGGAGCAGGAGCAGAGCAGGAATAGGAGGAGGCGGAGTAGCAGCGCTAGTGCCGCTAGTTGTACTTAGTAGCTAGCAGTAGAAATAGCAGAAGTAGCAGTCGTAGGAGCAGCAGTGTGGTGGTAGTAGTAGATAATTAGTTAGTAGTTAGTAGTTTAGTAGTTAGTAGTTAGTAGGTTGTAGTCGTAGTTAGTAGTAAGTGAGTAGTTGTAGTCGTCGTCGTCGTCGTCGTCGTCGTAGTAGTAGTAGTAGTAGTAGTAGTAGTAGGAGGTGGTAGTCGTCGTCGTAGTAGTCGTAGTAGCAGTAGTAGTAGTAGTAGTAGTAGTAGTAGTAGCAGTAGTAGTAGTAGTAGTAGTAGTCGTCGTCGTCGTCGTAGTAGGAGTAGGAGTAGGAGTAGGAGTAGGAGTAGGAGTAGGAGTAGGAGTAGGAGTAGGAGTAGGAGTAGGAGTAGGAGTAGGAGTAGTAGTAGTAGTAGCAGCAGTAGTAATGGTA